CCCCCTGATTGACTCTCAGTGCCCATATGGACAACCTAAAAGTAAGGGAAGCTTCCTGCCTGATTTGCTGGCCTGAAGGCCTATAAATGTTGTGATAATAGATATATCTAGGGTAGACTTGTACCCAGCCACTATTGAGGTTTTAATACAGAGAGTAGTTATTCATATACGGTGCAGTATCATCTATAAAGCTCTTGATTCAATTAATGTTAGTGATTAATCTCAGCTAAGTAAAATACCAAATGACAACTGTCTAGCAGGGAATGCCATGATGGCCTTAAGACAAGAAGATTATTATTATAATCATAACTCAGCACTTAACCCACAAGGGTCATACAGTGCTGCCAACAATGAAGAGTACTGGTACTGTACTGCTATGGGCTATCAAAACTAATGATACTTCATATTTTTAAATTCAATTAATGTGTATCTACATCAGCATTCTAACAGATACCACTCCAACCCTGTAACACCTATTCATTAAGTTTTAGTTCCAGCCTAGACCTGCCCAAAAAGGTGTATATAATTAAGGCTTTTTAATTAAACATGCCAGTATCCAAATTGTAAACCTATATTTCAATTATATGTAATGTATCTTCTGTATGGTGCTTGGATTCAAAATGAAGCATTTGATAAATTTAGAAAAATAAACTGCTGGGTAATTTTCAGAGTTATTTTGGCATGAAAGAAAACTACAGTGGTAAGAGGAAAATATTTTTGTGGAAGAATATTACTAGTAAGATCTAACAAGCATCAATAAGATAAAGACAATGATAAAGATTTTATTTCTTTGCAATGTTTACAACGTGTGATTACAATTTTGATTGGTTAAGTAAAAAGAAAGCCACTATCATGCTAGGGCATTTTGGGCAGACTAAGCATAATGCTTACAGACTACTTAATACTAGACATATAAAGAGCAGTAAATTTTAATTATACATCATTTTTCTTATTACAATAGAGGTAGGTAGTGGTTTACAGTAATTGAATTTAGAATTGAGATGAAGTAGTATATAAAAAAATTACAGTATTACAATTTAGCACAATTTATAATAATGAAACTGAAAAAAATTTAAGTTGGAAATAATGCTTAAATAATTGAGAAATCATAAATTATTTAGGAGTTTTCTGAGTTACTGGTAGGTGATAACATATAGTGTTTGTCTGGTCAATTTTAGGTGATGAAGTGATTTCTAAGTAGAGCTTAAATTGATTTGTAGGCAGGGGCCCTTTTTTATGTTCAGGCAATGAATTCCAGATCTTTAGGCCCTTTATGTGCATAGCATTTTTGCATAGGGAGAGATGGACACGAGGGATATCAAAGTGTGTGTTGTGCCTTGTGTTATGCCTGTGCGTTCTGTTGTAGTTATCAAGGAGGAGTTTGAGAGGAGGGTTTATATAGGGATATAATGTTCTGTGTATGTAGTAGGCACAATGATGTGTGTGGATATTTTGTATATTAAGCAAGTTCAAGCTCTTAACAAAGGGTGGAGTGTGTTGCCTGGTGCAGGAGCTGGTAATCAATTAAAGGTTTCAGGTGATTTGCTGTAGTTGAACCCCATACACAAATACCATAGGTGCAGTAAGAGTAGATGAAAGAGTGGTAGTGGTAAAGAGCAAGAAGTGCCGTTTGGGGTACATAGTACACCACTGTACCGTGATGCAGCTGCTGCTGCACCACGGTCAGCTGCTGCTGCACCAAAGTCAGCTGTTGCTGAACCACGGTCAGTTGCTGCTGCACCACAGTCAGCTGTTGCTGCACCACAGTCAGCTGCTGCTGAACCACAGTCAGCTGCTGCTGCACCAAAGTCAGCTGTTGCTGAACCACGGTCAGCTGCTGCTGCACCACGATCAGTGCTGCTGCACCAAAGTCAGCTGTTGCTGAAACCACAGTCAGCTGCTGCTGAACCACAGTCAGCTGCTGCTGAACCACGGTGAGCTGCTGTTGCACCACGGTCAGCTGCTGCTGCACCACAGTCAGCTGCTGCTACACCACCGTCATCTGTTGCTGCACCACGGTCAGCTGTTGCTGCACCAGTCAGCTGTTGCTGAACCACGGTGAGCTGCTGTTGCACCACGGTCAGCTGCTGCTGCACCACCGTCATCTGTTGCTGCACCACGGTCAGCTGTTGCTGCACCAGTCAGCTGTTGCTGAACCACGGTGAGCTGCTGTTGCACCACGGTCAGCTGCTGCTGCACCACAGTCAGCTGCTGCTACACCACCGTCATCTGTTGCTGCACCACGGTCAGCTGTTGCTGCACCACGGTCAGCTGTTGCTGCACCACGGTCAGCTGTTTGCTGCACCATGGTCAGCTGGTCCTAGTGGCATTAAAGAAGAAGGGAAGTAACCCCGGAAAAGGATGTGCTACCTAAAGTCCTAATGGAAGGGGATTCCCCTTCTAAACATTAACAACTTCCACACTCTCCCCTCCTCCCATCCCATCAATCATCACCAGATCTTCAATAAAGTTAAGTGTCAGTTTGTGTGCATTAAAATTAATATTTCATGTGGTAAAAATTTTTTTTTTTTCATACTTTGTGGTGTCTTGCACGGATTAATTTGATTTCCATTATTTCTTATGGGGAAAATTAATTCGCCTTACGATAATTTCAGCACACGATGAGCTCTCAGGAACGGATTAATATTATATGCTGGGGGTCCACTGTCTTTATCTATGTATGTATTGTGCATGTCTAATTTTTTTTCTGTGTAGGGAAATGTACATTTCACGTAGAAAAAAATTATATTTTAATACTTTGGCTGTCTGGAACGGATTAATTGGATTTCCATTATTTCTTAAGGGGAAAATTAATTCGACCAACTGCAAATTCGACTAACAGCTAGCTCTCTGGAACGGACTAATGCCAATGGTCAAGGGTCCACTATATTTTCATTAGTTTGTTGTTTACAGTGTCTCTTAGTATAGTTGGGTTTGATAAGAGAAGATGTAAGTAGTGTCATGTGCAAATAAATGGGTTTAACCCTTTCAGGGTCGAGAGGCCCTCTCCTAAATTTGTTCTCAGGGTCGAAAATTTTTGGGAAAAAAAAAAAAAAATTAGTTTCTTACGAAATGATAGAGAATCTTTTCCCGATCATAATGACACCAAAATTATGAAATTTGATGGAAAACTTACAGAATTATGCTCTCATGAAGTTAGTGGTCTTGACGATGTTTACGCACTGGCGATTTTGCCCACTTTGAGCCCTATTTTCGGTCAATTCCACTGTACTAGCCGACAAAAATCATAACTATTTCTCTAGAACTCCATTTTTTCTATCGAATGAGTATAAGAAACCACCTATTTACTGATTTCAACTATCCAATACAGTGGTCAGAAACTGGCAATTTTGCGAATTTCACACAAATTTCAAGAGATGCCAATTTCAAAATAGGGTCCAGAATAAACAAGACAGACATTCCTGGTACTAAAACAACATTTCCTCTGTTCATTAGTCATGTCCCCAGGCCCCTCTTACATTTCTTTTGCTTTCCTCTTGAATTTTTATTTCACAAAAAAATAGAAGATTTATTGTTATGCGACTACTGCATTAGTGTAGAATGGTGTAGATATGGTATGAATATATCAACGCACTGTGAAAGAATATTAGACTCACCAGTTGATGTGTATTAGACGTGTGGCATGATTTGTTTACTTTTGAACTTTGGCAAAAATCGAACATTTCTGCGACTTTGAGCTCAATTTCTATGTACTTTTCATTGTGAAACCAATCAAAATCATCTCAATTTCTGTAATATGCCTTCCATTCTATAAAATGAGACCAGAAAAACTAGAATACAACCATAAATCCCATACGAAAATACAGTGCAAAAGTTGCTGTTTAAACCAAAAACACGGTCAGAGTTTTTTTTTCTCATTATGCACTGTGTGGTGCAGGATTTTTTTTATACTATGCACACTGACCACATAGACCCATTCTTTTGTATATAGGCCTACCAGCTTTCTCTCGCTAGATTTGAAGGCGCTAGAATTTACACGTATTAGTAGGTCAATAGCCCTGGCGCGTAAGCCGTACTAGCATGTCGGAAACCCTGAAAGGGTTAAGGAGTTTAGATGCATCTGGGAGGTCACTGTTGTAAATGAGAAAGAGAAGCGGGTCAGGGACACTACCTTGTGGGACTCCAACAAGAACAGGTTGTGTAGTAGAGGTAACACCATTTGTGTATATACAATGGTGTCTATTACTGAGATAAGATTTTAAGTAATCAAGCGTCATCTGACTCCATAATGTTCAAGTTTTAGGTGCAAGAGGTCATGGTTAACTGTATCAAATGCTTTTCATAGGTCTATGAAAAGTCCCAGGGGAATTTAATTTTTTCTGAGTGCCATATATAGAGGTTCAAGCATATGTATAATACATAGAATTTCAAGCATATGTATAATTGCATCATTAGTAGTAACTTTTTGGCCTGAATCCAACTGGCATGGGTTAAGTATGTTGTGAGATACTAAGTTGGAGTAAACTTGCTTGTGAATTATTTTCTCGAAAATTTTAGATATTAGGGGAAAGTTTGATATAGGTCTATAGTTATTCAGTTCAACTGGACTGTCTCCTTTGAGGATCGGGGTAACCCTTGCTGTCTTGAGTATGGATGGAAAGGATGAAGATTCAACAGACTTGTTAAAGAGAGTTGCAATAATGGGTGCCACCACATGAGAAGCTTTGTATACACGAGGGGTGGTAAGTTATTTAGGTCTCCTACCTTGTTCTTTAGTGTTTTGATGATGAGCCAGAAGAAATAAAGAGCTAAGGGTTTTAAATGATATGCTTGTATATGATGCAAGAACACCATGCAGAAAAATTATGTAAAAAAGTAAGATTTGGGTAAACTGAGTGAAGATAGCAATAAAGGGAATAACGGAAAAAAAATACAGTATATAAATTGCAGAACAAGCTTTTATTTGGACAATTTTTTGCTCTGGGGTAGACCCTTTTCTTGAGGAACACTTTGTCCCAAAACAGTAAAAAATTTTCTACAATACGTCTTTTCTTCACTACTGTTGGAAGTACACCATTTGGATCCATGGAAAAGGGAATTTAAATGGGGAGAAAATCCCCTCAACAGAACATGGGCAAATGAAAATTGGCTCCATTAAATTTATGTGATAATACTTTAAATTCTCCATGGGAAGTGGAAAGAATTCTTCCTCCGAAGCCATGGTGTGTAAGAGGCAACTAAATCCCGGGAGAAAGGGGGCTAGTCCCCCCTTCTAAATTTTAAAAAGAGAAGCTTTCGTTTTTCTTTTGGGCCCACCCTGCCTTGGTGGGATACGACCATTTTGTTGAAAAAAAAAAATACTTTCTATGTACTAGTAAAATAAGCTCTTAGGAGTAAACTACATACAACAAAAAAATTGTGAAAACAACAAACGCAATAGTAGGCAATTACTATGCAATACAGGTACAATACCGATTTTCCATCCCCCTTGGTTCCTAGGACTTGTTTAAATATCGATTTTGCCAGACCAACAAGGTTACATGATAATTCAACAATACACCATGCCCCACCATGGACTGCTAGAAACTTTAATTAAACATTAGAATAAATGAAACAGGTTTACTAATTACTGTACTGACAAAGAAAGTTGCAGTACTACTGAAACTAGAAATGATCACATTAGGTCTGCAAGTTGAAGGTTTGATTACGTTTAAAGTTGACTGTTTTCGTCATGGATTTGTGGTGTTGCAAGGGAAAGCTTAGAGTGCAGTATTCCTTGGTCTTGGGGTAAAATAAGTGATGTACAGTTTGGTGGTATTAAAATTTTCATACACGAGTTCAATTTTATGGGGAGCTAAACAATTGTCCACAATAAAAACTCTTTCAATTTTCTTGTAGGCCTACAGACATGCAATGTGCTCTGGCTTCTAGCACAAAAAAACTTTTCAAACCACTCTAAGGTAAAATTCAGTGGTAATCTGGTCATATTTTTGCATTTATATTACTGGGTAAATTTTCAATGCCTTTCAAGGCCCTAGGGCATTTACTCTTCCTGACACCAATGGCTTATGCCCGTGTATGCCAGCTTTGTTTGAGTACCCTAAGATCATAACTTTTTCCCTTTCATTGTTTGAATCCTCTGGGCATTTTTTATCTTCTGTTGTTAATGTCCTAGGTGTGCATGCCAATATAATGCAGTTTCATCTGCATTTATATCCTGTTCAGGACAGAGGTGCTTGACAGCTACAATTTTCACAAATTTGTCCACGTGCTCAGCAGCTCCTTTGTGGTCTGCAGATCATTTTTCTCCACACACTTACACATGGAAATTCCAAGACGCTTCTTAAACTTTGAAGCCATCCTTCATTATAGTTAAACTCATATTTTAATTAATTTTATTTATGGAAGAACTGAGCTTGTTCCATTAACATCCTACCAAGACAAGTCACTCCATCACCCCAATGCTGTCTAAACAATTCCATCATCACTCAGTCATCCTCAGTACTCTTGCTACCTTTCAAAGTTTTCTTAAGATCATTTGCTTTTGGAATAACTCTCTGCATAGAATTCAAAAAACTGGTTCCTTTGCCTCTTCATATCAAACGGCTGCTTCCCCGTTCCATACATGTTACACAACTTCCACATGGAAACACTACGGTCCAGTTATTCAATAATTTGACCCTATCTTGTATCAAATGAACTGAGGTTTATGCTTAACTCCCCCACTGAACCTATGTCTTTCTTAGAAGTCATAACTGGGGTTAAATATTAGCTAAACTTTCTGAAAATTTAGCAAAAAATCAGGGATCGCCACCAACAACTACAGCGTAAACAATACAAGTGCAGCGACCTACCCATGCCATCTGTGGCCACCTGTGTAATTTTGTCCAGACAAAAGAGGTGTAGGACCATCCACTGCCAGAAAATCAGTGTTGTACCTGTACTAGCAAATTTTGGATAATCTTAAAATAATGAATATGGATGGAGGAAAAATAATAAAACAATAATAATAATAATAATAATAATCATAATAAAAAATAATACAATACTAAATAAGAATACAGTGTATACACAAAATACCCACACGAAAGAGAAAAAAAAACTCATGACGACATTTTTGGTCTGACTTTGGCCATTACTAGTCATGCAGAAGAATGAAGGGGGTTCAGTATTATATGAAAGGAGGACCCGGGGGAAGGAGAACAAAGGAAGGAATAAGGTAGAATCAGTGGTGGTGGTGGTGGTGGGTGCGGGGCAGCGGGGGGGGTGGTGGTAGTAGTAGTAAGTAGTGTAACGTGGTAGAGGTGAAAAAAAGACATAATGATCCACACCTATCCAGGAAAAAATGCCAATATTGATTGTTGTCTTGTCCTCCCCCCAGGGTTTGGTTGCCTTGGTATCAACCCTATCTTCTGAAAAGTCAACATGCACATTGCTGTCATAACCAACAAAATCATCTAAGACATCACCAGACCACACAGACCCAAGAGTACCACTGCTGCAGGGGTTTACAGCATTCTGTGTGAGGGATGTAGTAAGGTTTCATTGGTGAGACAGGGAATGACTTTCAGACTCACCTACAGGAACACAAATATACTTACAGGATGAATGCTAACAATGCATGCATTATTCATCACAATCCAGTTGCATATCATGAACTAAAGTGCAGGACTACAGTGGTATCAGGAGGACAAAACTGAATGCATGATTTTACAAGCAGCTACTATTTATTTATCTAATACTATCAAACAAAACTAAGGGAATGTACACACTGGCAGGTGTCATCACTCATATGGTACATGGTCTATATAATAAAAATGTTTCCTATGGGATTAACTTTCCTGCTCCCTGTCCACATATCTGTACCTATTATGCATACTGTTTGACTGTCTCTCTTCCTAAGAGAAAAAGAATCACTTGTGATCCTTCCCAAGCCTGACCTCAGGGTGCTCTTTTGCTGTATGAGGCAGTGTACCTCTTGAGGTTTTGTATACATGTACACAATAAAAGTCCAGTCCCAGATGAAATGTAGTAATAAAAGTCTCTCTGCAAACAAGTGTCTTTCTTACTACCACTGATTATCTAGAACATAACACATCACTAAATTTCAAAAAAGGCTATCATGCAATGCAAGGCACAAATATACAACAGTTAACTGCATTTATCAAGAGCCAACTATCTTTCTCTTATCTTAAAATAACATGTAAACAGTTAAACATTCACAATTTTTAAACCAATGACCATAAGGAAGCTTACCCATACTGCGTGTAGTGTGGCACCATGAAAGCAGGAGGAGGGTGGTCATTAGGTTAATGGACACAAGAAAAAGTGTTTGCTGGGCCTCTCGCTGATGAAAAAGCCAAGTTACTTCTTTAATAAATGTCTGAAATGATGACATTGTGGCTGCACCCTCCTTAAATGGGCGAATAAAATACTGTAAAAAAAATATATACATTATATTCACTGTATAAACCTCAGCATATTCATAATGACTAATAGTTTAACATGGCCCTGACACACCATAAACCTAAATTATATGGTATTCTGTAAATTCTGGTTAAAATTCTGATTGTGTGCAAGTATATACGGAGTTACAAGAGCCAATCTATGTTCGTAGTGTTCATTCTTCATAACAGTACATCATTTAGTTTCTCATACAAATCTTTAAAGGAGGTTACAATATAGTGGCAGGAACAAATCACATACATGCAAATTAGAGATGAAAAATGGATAAACACTTGACTAAACAATACAGTATTCCAGAAATGACGAAAAGTCATTAAGATTTCATTTCCAATACTTTTTTAACACAAGATTTTTGACAAGTGCAAGACTGCCCTATTTGTCATTAGTATTTGTAATTACAGGAGAATAGCAATGCTTGTGGTGTCTAGCTTCAGTACAGTGCTTAGTTTGTCATACTTACCCAGAATTTCCCCATATTCTTGTATCTCCAGAATTAGTGTTCTCTTTTAACTTGTCTCTACAATCTTATTTCTGATGAAAATTGACAGCTTGAATGATAGAAGCTTGTTAGGTGGGTTGATTTTTGAGGAACAACAGGCACTGAAAATGCCCTCATAAAGAGACATGAAAAAGAGCAGATATATACTTAGTGGCCCCTTTATTAGGCACACCTGTATACCAGCTCTGTAATGCAAATATCTAATCAGCCAATTACATGGCATCAATTTACTGCCTAAGAGCATACAGAGATGGTCAAGAGGTTCAGTTGTTCAGAGCAAACATAAGACTGGAGAAGAAATGTGATCTTAGTGACTCTGACTGTGGAAAGACAAAGATTGATGGTAGTTTGAATATCTCAGATGCTGCACATCTCTCTGAGATTTTCACACAACAATCTCTAGAGTTTGCAGAGAATGGTGTGAAAAATGAGTGGCAGTTATGTGGGTGAAAAATGCCTTGTTACTGACAGAGGCCAGAGGAAGCTTGTCAAATTGGTTCAGGCTGACAGGAAGGTGTGGAAAATTTGTGATTTACTGTTATTCCTTAGGTCTGGAGGCATGGAGGGTGGGGGAAGGGGGTCCATGAGGGAATATGGGGAGTCTAACATGATACCCTAGTAGACATCCAATGCTGTTACGTCTTTCCTACCAAATCCTTCAATGTAAGAGAAGGTGCCGGCAACTCAATTAACTAAACGTTACAAGTGGTATGAAGAAGAGCATCTCTGAATGCAAAACACACTAAACACTGAAGCATATGGCTAGAGCAGCAAAACACCACACTGGGTTTCACTCCTGTCAGCTAAGAATACAAAACTGATGGTACAATGGGCACATGCTCACCAAAATTGGACTGCTAAAGACTGAAAAAATGTTACCTAGTCTGAGGAACTGCAATTTCTGCTGTGACATACAGATGGTAGGGTCAGAATTTCGTATAAACCTTTGGGATGTGGTGGAATGGGAGATTCTGCCAGCTAAAACATCTGCAGCAACTTGGTGATGCTATCATGTCAACAAGGACCAGGATCCCTAAAGAATGTGTTCAGCACCTTGTTGATCTATGCCATGAAGACTTCAGAGTTTTAGGTGATTTGTTAGTGTAGAACCCCATGCACACTTACCGTAAGTGATGTAAAGGCTGATTAGAGAGTAGTACAGAGTAATGTTTTTTGAGGTATACATAGTAAAACATTTTTAAAAGAATGCCCAGGTTTAATATTTTCTTTTTACATATGTGTTAGCTATAAATGTTGAATTTTTAGTTTACCATCAAGGTTTATAACTAAGAATTTTTCCTCATCTTGTCTTCCAAGTAGTACAGCAATTATCTTTACAAGCCCATTATTAAAAATTAAGGACAACTGGATCTGGATTTAAGATAAAAAAAAAGGGAGGTCATCTGCAAACAGAACAGGTTTAGAGGTATGGGAAGTACCTGGGGTATTAGGTGGATCACTGACTTGCATAAGAATTATATAATAAAAGACCGTAGGGATGCTGCCCTGTGATGCAAATTAAATGGTGTACTGTATTAAAACGGGACACCAAGTACATGGCTCTGCCCCTGTAACTACAAACAAGTCATCAGATACCGTAAGATCTGTATATAACATACAGCTTGTATACATTTGGTCAATATCATGTACACAAAATATATACATGTACATGTATATAATGTACAGTCGTGCCTCGAGTTTCAAACAGCTCCCAACTCGAACAATTATGTAAGTGTATTTTTGTAAGTGCTTTTGTGAGTGTATTTTTGGGGGTCTGAAATGGACTAATCTAATTTACATTATTCCTTAACCCTTTGACTGTTTACGACGTATAAATACGTCTTACGAGCCAATGTTTCTGACGTATTTATACGCACAAATTCTAGCGGCTTCAAATCAAGTGGGAAAGGCCTGGTAGGCCTACATGAGAGAGAATGGGTCTCAGCGGTCGGTGTGCACCCTGTGAAAAAAATCTGGGACCCAGCGGTGCATTGTGGGAACGCCATCTTGTTAGTCCATTTTCACCATGCCTCTCGGTAAGAAGTTCCTCACTCCTCGGCGGATTGGAGGTCTTTTGTTCCCAAGTGATAGCTCTAACAGCGATGAAAATGTCAGTGACGGTGAATTCCAGGGTTTTGAAGTGAGTGTTACCGGAAAAAGTGCCCAGGATAACGTAATTAGTGATGAAAACCTAGATGACCCACAACCTTCCACCTCTGGTGCTGGGCCGGCTTGTTCACGTTCACGTTCGCCTGTACCAGGACGAAAGAGGAAACTATTTGGTCGTGTACAACACCCAGATGATAGCAGTGAATGTGATAGTGATAGTGATTTCAAGGTCATTGAAAGCAGTTCTAGTGACAGCGAGGGTGAATATTCCCCAGTGAAGCGGCAGTATGTACGATGTAGCATGCGGTCTGGTAGTGTTTCATATGTTGTTCCAAGGGGAAGGAGAAACTCTGGGAGCACATCCCGTGGCCCTACACCACGACCTGATAGTGAAGATGACAATATTGTAACGATGGGTATGAATGATGTGAGTGAGGGAGCAGGCAGTGGTGGTGATAGTGAGGTTGGCACAGCCCATGTGGCACCATCAGCGGGCCACGCTACTACCCACGCTGCTGACTCTGCACAACAACCAGCCTCACCCGACCCCACACTCCCACAACCTGCACTCCCACAACCTGCACAACCACAACCTGCACAACCACAACCACGGTACAATATCCAGACCCCACCAGCAGACCGCATCTGGGATTGGCAGGACGGTGACGAGTTTGTTCCCAGTCCCCATGACTTTGATGAAACACAAAGTGGAATAAAGCCATCATGTCCACTTGGGAACAATGCCAGTGAACTGGACTGCTTTGAGTTATTCTTCGATGAACCCCTGATGGACATCATTGTCAGGGAAACAAACACATACTGTGATTACACCATGGCAAATACAATTCTCTCACCAAAATCACGGCTACACAAGTGGAAGGAGACAACTGTGGCAGAGATGTACCTGTTTTTTGCCACAATAATGCTTATGCCACATGTGTATAAGCACACTGTCACCACATACTGGGCAACAGAACGCCTGATTTCAACTCCAGGTTTTAGTGACATTATAGGTGTCAATCGTTTCCTGATACTGTTACGTATGTTACACTTTTCAGACAAAACCAAGCCTGACAGAAGCGACAGGTTATATAAGATAAGAAATGTGTTTATGTACCTGAAACAAAAGTGCTGCATGTATTTTTATCCCTTCAGGAAGCTTGTTATTGATGAGTCCTTGATTTTATTCAAAGGAAGACTCTCATTCAAGCAATATATACCAAGCAAGAGGAAACGCTTTGGTGTAAAGCTATTTGTACTGTGTGATTGCAGAAGTGGTCTAGTTTTGGATATCATTGTGTACACTGGCAGTAATACTTTGAGAGATACCATGAAGTTATTGAGTATCTCTGGTGATGTGGTTCGAACAATGATGGAACCATATCTTGGTAAGGGGCATATGTTATTTATTGATAACTGGTACACAAGCCCCTTACTCAGTGATTTCTTGCGAGTGAACTTGACAGACATGTGTGGCACAGTGCGTCATAATCGTAAACATATGCCAAGGTTCGACGCTGGCACTCGCAGAGGTGAGGTGCAAGCCTTTGCTGCCAATGACATCATGGCATTTCGGTGGCATGACAAACGTGATGTCACATTATTGACATCAGTTCACCGAAACGAAATGGTACACAGTGACAGGCAGAACAGAGAGACCAATGAACCCATTCTAAAGCCCGCAGCTGTCATGGACTACAACCTCAATATGCGCTTAGTGGACAAATGTGACATGCAGATTGGGTTTGCAAACTGTGTACGCAAGAGTTATAAGTGGTATATAAAACTTTTTTCCATCTTGTTGATATCTCTATGCTGAATGCTTATAACATATACAAGTTGAAGACCAACAAAACACCAAAATATGGTGAATTTTGCTTGTCAGTAATCAGACAAATAATTGCAAAGTACCAAGGAGCAACACCTGTAATAAACCAGCGCCCACGAAATTACCAACACACGTCATCTCATTTCAGGCCTGGTGATCACTACCCCATGCAACTGCCTCCTACTACTGCCAAGAAAAATGCTCAGAAGAGGTGTTTTGTATATATGCATACCACAAAACGCCCACAAACACGCAGACACTCGTTTTATGTGTGAGGAGTGTCAAGTGCCCCTCTGCATATACCCATGTTTCAAAGAGTTCCACAAGCTGCAGCAGTTCTAGGAACGTGTTTAGTGACTGTACATATGTATATATATTATGGAACAATAGTAATAAACATTGTTTTGTATTGTTTATTTGTGTAAACAAAGTGTATACACAAACTAATAGTGATAAAGTTTGTTCTGTTATTGTGTTGTAAACAATGAGTGTATATTTGAAGAATGCACCTTACATTGGTCTCACAGGCCACATAAGTTACCTGGAACAGAAAAATATTGAAAAATGCAAGAAACCTTTGAATTAGAGTAAATAAAAGAATATCGGGTGGGCGGCAGTCGCCGCTGTTGCCGTACGCACGTCGCTTTCTGCAAACTTTGCGGCTCTATATCTCGGTAAGTACTGATGGCAAAAAAATTTTTTTAGGCTTAAAACACTCAGAAAAATATTCCTAACATTTTCATAAGAAAATTTTTTTTTTTTCAAATATTTGGCGACAGAATGACAGTTTCAGAGAGGGGCCTGAAACAGTCAAAGGGTTAAGGGAACAAATTTGTTCGGTATTGGCACCTGAACAGCTTTCTGGAACAAATTAAGTTCATAACTCGAAGTACCACTGTATTAAGAAACATAGCTTGAATTCATTCACTTCCTCACTTTCATCTTCGTTTTCATTAACATAACCATACATTTGTAGAGAACTTACTCGTGGAGTTTCCTCGCAATCCATAGTATTTCCCCGTTGCCGTACTCCATTTCCTGTTGGTGATGAGGTGAAAGTTTTATATACTGTTTTAAAATATTGGAGCAATTTCACTGTTTATGTACCATTCACCATAGGACAAAACATTCTGAAAGACCACATATACTGTGCAAACTCTGGTGATGAGAAGCAAGATTCATTCTAAACACAAGTCCAGCATTTGATGTAAACACTATAGTATTTACAATACATTAGGCATATTTCTCCTGGTAAAATAAAAATTATGTACAGTTGACCCTTGAACAACATGGGTTTACTCTGTGTGGATCCACATATAAGCAGATTCTTTCCAATACTGGAATTTTTTTTTGGAGATTTAAGACCGAAAAAATTAAGAAAAAACTAGGTACTGTATGTCACAAATGCATAAAATGTATGTACATACTATGTAGTGTATTTTATCATTTACTACCATAAAATATACACAAATCTATCATAAAAAGTTAAAATTTATGCACACAAATAATTACATATCATACAAGTTCTATGACCCAAATCTCGATTACTAGCTCATTTAGCTCACACACTGAGGTCCAGGGGTCGATCCCCAGTATAGGTACCTGGATGTTAGTCGACTGGTGTGGGTTGCATCTGGGACAAAATTGACCTAATTTGCCCGAAATGCTCTGCATAACAAGGAGCTCTCTACCTAGTAGTATGTCACTGATGTTAATTAGGCCTGTATACCTTGTACATGTACTTGTAGCACTCAAGATTATTGTTATTCGCAGTCGAGAGAAATGTAAACAAACGTAAAGATGCAATAATGTAATATATGTGTAATAATTATTATCATTATCATAACTAAGCACTAAATCCACAAGGGTCAATAATATAATAATAATATAATACGTATATACAGGAAGGACTACGTGCAGCCAGCAGTAATAGCCTAGTTGATCAGGCCCTGATCCACCGGGAGGCCTGGTCATGGACCGGGCCATGGGGGCATTGATTCCCAGAATACCCTTCAGGTAGACTCCAGGTAAGGCTCCGCTTTACAGTGCTTCGCTTTATGGTACATATTTCACTAATACAGCAGTTTTCAATTATACCCATTCTTCATTTATTCGGACTTCCTACAATAAATATACATCCTCTCCTCACTTAACGATGGAGTTCCGTTCCTAAGACCACATCCGTAAACGAATCTGTTGCTAAGTGAGGAGCATACTAGTATAATGGTAGTGGGTTTGTGTCAACCATGTTTGATATTGTTTAAATGTCACATTTGCACCATTTATAACATTTCTGGTATATTTTTAAATGTTTATAGTGTGCTGTATAATGTAATAAACAGAATAAAGGAAATCAGCTCTAATATACATTATTTAGGTATGCATACTGGTCAGAGAGCCTCTCGTAAGTCCGAGTTGTCGGTAAAAGAGTACGTACATTGTTAAGTGAGGAGAGGCTGTAGTCACTACTCACTGTAAGCTAAAGACAAAAATATTTTAAGGTAAGTAATGTATACTGTATATGAATTTTTTAGGCTTAGCTCTAATGCTCACTTTATATATGATAGTGTTATCAAGCTCTTATATGCATTTGAAAATGGAAAAAAAGCTGTGTTTCATTTTACAGTGATTTTCCCTTGATAGTGGTAGCCTGGAACCTAACCCACAGTACAAGTGGGGCATTCCTGTAGTAGTAGTAGTAGTAATAATAATAATAATAATAATAATAATAATAATAATAATAATAATAATAATAATAATAGAGTATTATTACATACTGTACATGTTCCATTCGCAGTCGAGAGAAATGTAAACATATGTAAAGATGCAATATTAAATCATGAATAAATATGATTTTTTTCACATTATCTTTTAATTTTGGATGTCTAATGTTAGTAATACGTATGACATCTGCAGTGTTTCGCATCATATAAGACAATATTGATGTAGGTACTAACAGACAGATGATTCATCTTGTAAACTGATGACATAAACTTATGGTATCGATAAATACAATACAGTACAGTGGACCCTCGACCAATGATGGCATCGATTAACGATAGATCCGACCAGCGATACATTTTAACGCAAAAATTTTGCCTCGACTAGCGCTAAAAATCTCGACCAACACTATTCGTTCCGTCTGAGACGCGTCCACTTCTGGCCAGTGTTTACAAGGCAGCCAGCCACCGCGGTCGCTTCCAAGCATACAACCGAACATTTCATATTATCACAGCCTTTTTAGTGATTGCACCTGCAAAATAAGTCACCATGGGCCCCAAGAAAGCTTCTAGTGCCAACCTTACAGCAAAAAGGGTGAGAATTACTATGGATATGAAGAAAGAGATAATTGCTAAGTATGAAAGTGGAGTGCGTGTCTCCGAGCTGGCCAGGTTGTACACAAAACCCCAATCAACCATCGCTACTATTGTGGCCAAGAAAACGGCAATCAAGGAAGCTGTTCTTGCCAAAGGTGCAACTATGTTTTCGAAACTGAGATCGCAAGTGATAGAAGATGTTGAGAGACTGTTATTGGTGTGGATAAACGAAAAACAGATAGCAGGAGATAGCATCTCTCAAGTGATCGTATGTGAAAAGGCTAGGAAGTTGCATGAGGATTTAATTAGAAAAATGCCAGCAACTAGTGGTGATGTGAGTGAATTTAAGGCCAGCAAAGGTTGGTTTGAGAGATTTAAGAATCGTATGGCATACATAGTGTGATAAGGCATGGTGAGGCTGCCAGTTTGGACCAAAAAGCAGCTGAAAAATATGTGCAGGAATTCAAGGAGTACATAGACAGTGAAGAATTGAAACCTGAACAAGTGTTTAATTGTGACACTGACAATGTTGTGAAACACTTTAGGAATGTCATAAAGGAATGGGAGGTACAGGCCTCTATGGACAGATATGTTGTGCAACAGAGGTCCAGTGACTCTCAAGCTGGTCCTAGTGGCATTAAAAGAAGAAGGGAAGTAACCCAAAAAAGGACTTGCCACCTCAAGTCCTAATGGAAGGGGATTCCCCTTCTAAACACTAACACCATCAACACTCTCCCCTCCTCCCATCCCATCAATCATCACCAGATCTTCAATAAAGATAAGTGTCATGTAACTGTGCATGTCTTCTTCAGTTTGTATGTATTAAAATTAATATTTCATGTGGTAAAAAATTTTTTTTTTCAATACTTTTGGGTGTCTTGCATGGATTAATTTGATTTTCATTATTTCTTATGGGGAAAATTAACTCAACTAACGATAATTTCGATTAACGATGAGCACTCAGGAACGGATTAATATCGCTGGTCGAGGGTCCACTGTACTGTACTGTAAATGCATTTTCTTTTCCTTATGATTTTCTTAATAACATTTTCTTTTCTCTAGCTTACTATATTTTAAGATACAGTTTATAATATAACATACAAAATGAGCGTTTATTGACTGTTTACGTTAGAGGTAAGGCTTCCGGTCAATAGTGGGCCACTAGTAAAGTTTTTGAGGAGTCAAAAGTTATACACAAAGTTTTTATTGCACATGGGGTCAGCACCCCTAACCCTTGCATTGATGAAGGATCAACTGTATAATAAGGTACAGTACTGCCAACATCAAGAGAATCTCTAATAACCTCCCAAAACCCTTTCATTATTCACCTCTACTTAGCAAATCATGATCTCCTCTGCAGATCTCAGACACTGGACCAAAACATGTTTCAAACTAAAAAAAAAAAAAAATCAGAAGGGTACCCAGGGGATCCATGCTACAGTGGAACCTCATGTTTCGAACGTATCACTTATTGAACTCTTCGAAAATCGACCGCTGTTTTTAAACCAACTTTGTCCCTATTATCCAACTCGCCCCTATTTTCGAACCGCCGGGTATCGGACCTGTCTGCCAGCCCACTCTGTCTGCGTCCCCACGCAGGCGCCGTGAGCCAGTCTGGCTTTGTTGATGCTCAAGTGAACACTAACCTGTGCTTCATTCAAACATTTTACTATTAATTCATCGTGTTTAGTGCTTGTGGGACTGTGAAATAAGCTACCATGGGCCCAAAGAAACTGCTAGTGGTACCCTTGTGGTAAAAGAAAGTGAGAAACACCAAAGGTGTGAAGAAGAAAATAATACAGAAGTATGAGAGTGGTGTGAAACTTGTTGAGCTTGCCAGGATGTATGGGAAAAACAAGTCGACCATCGCTTTTATTACCCTGGCAAAGAAATTACAAATCAAGGAAGCTGATGTTTGCAAAAGGTGTTAATATGCTAACCAAAAAAAGACCATAGACAATCGATCAGGTTGAGTTGTTGTTGCTGGTGTGGATCAAAGATAAAGAGATGGCAGGTGATAGTGTTTCAGAGATGATTATTTGTGAAAAGGCAAGGAAGTTGCATGCCAATTCGAAGATTAAGGAGATTTGTGCCACGTGGAATGATGTCCAAATGTTTGTGGAGAAGTACCACCCTGAGCAAGCTGAAACAAGCCATCTTTGCAACAAGTTCAGTGACAGAACCATGTCCCATTTTAGGGAAATCTTAAAGAGGTGCCAGAAACAGAGGACTGTGGACAGTTATTTTGTGAGTCAGGGGTCCAGTGACTCTCAAGCTGGTCCTGGTGGCATTAAAAGACAGAGAAGGGAAGTAACCCCAGAGAGTGCTTTGATACCTAAAGTCCTTATGGAGGGGGATTTCCCTTCCAAACACTTACCCCAACTCCCTCTCTCCTCCTCCCTATCTTCCAGATGCCATCATCAATCTTCAATAAAGGTAAGTAAAAATGTTATTTTATATGTTTATTTAAATTTATTAATACATAATTGTACACTATATTTGCTGTATGTAAAACTATAAATAATCTCTATAAAATGTATTTTTTTGTGAAATTTTTGGGGTTTCTGGAACGGATTAATTGTATTTCCATTATTTCTTATGGGAAATATTGCTTCGCTTTTCAAACTTTTCGAATTTAGAACTAGCCCCTGGAAACAGATTAAGTTTGAAATTTGAGGTTCCACTGTACTTGGAACTGCAATGAGAAGGGCTCAGACCCATCACATACTGGACTGGGAAATGTTAGCAGCAGTCACCAACTGACCAATACTAATGACACAACTGTTTGGAAAATGTTTCCTGTGCATTGAAGAATTGCAGTTTATCTACATTTCCTGAAGGATGACAACTAGCTATTAACATATGTTTTAATAATGCAGTTTATTTCAGCAACAAAGTCCCACTTCCTTAAAATATCAAACAAGTTATTAACCCTCTTTCAACTCCATATTAATAACTTTTTGGGGGATAACAAGAGATTAAAGCTTCTTTAACTTTTCTCTTATTCACAAGAATACAGTGGACCCCGCATACCGTTGGCATCACATAACGTTAAATCCACATACCAATACTTTTTAAATCGCTAAGATTTTGCCTCGCATACCGCTAAAAAACCCGCTCAGCGCTATTCGTCCGAGACGCGTCTAATGTGCGGCTGAGCCAGCCTCACATGTTCCGCCGGTGGCATTGTTTACAAGCCAGCCTCCGCGGTAACATCCAAGCATACAATCGGAACATTTCGTATTATTACAGCGTTTTTGGTGATTTTATCTGCAAAATAAGTGACCATGGGCCCCAAGAAAGCTTCTAGTGCCAACCCTGTGGTAAAAAGGGTGAGAATATTATCGAAATACTGTGGTACCATGGTCAACTGCTGCTGCTGCTGCTGCTGTAGCACTGTCAGCTGCTGCTGCTGCTGTAGCACCGTCAGCTGCTGCTGCTGCTGTACACTGCCCAGCTGCTGCTGCTGCTGTAGCACTGTCAGCTGCTGTTGCTGCTGTAGCACTGTCAGCTGCTGCTGCTGCTGTAGCACTGTCAGCTGCTGCACCTTCAGCTGCTGCTGCTGTAGCACTGTCAGCTGCTGCTGCTGCTGCACTGTGATAAGGCCTGTTCTGGAAGAAAATGCCAAACAGGACCTACAGTACTCAGGAGGAAAAGGCACTCCCAGGACACAGTGTCTCATCAGTCATTGCTGCATCTTCAATAAAGGTAAGTGTCATTTATTCTTCATTTAGTAGAGTAGTACATGCACAATATATACTGTGCATGTATTACTCTACTACTGTGCATGTATCCTTCTCTTTGTGTGTAGGAAAATGTATATTTCATGTGGTAAAAAAATTTTTTTCATACTTTTGGGTGTCTTGCATGGATTAATTTGATTTCCATTATTTATGGGGAAAATTCATTTGCATAACGATAATTTCGCATAACAATGAGCTCTCAGGAACGGATTAATATCGTTATGCGGGGGTCCACTGTACTACCAAAGCTAAGGACACAGAAAAAAAAATGCAGTTATACCTATTTACCGAAATGTTCTTCATACTAAGGGGGCTTTGTGCATGCACATCTAAATGTCATCCATCTCTCTACACTGTACCATGCTAGTTCCCCTCAAGGAAGGTTCCTTGATGCTGGTGAGGGGCTCTTGATTTAGGGAATTGGATCTGTGCTCCAGTTCCCCGAATTAAGCCTGAATGCCTTCCACATCCCCCCAGGCGCTGTATAATCCCGGGTTTAGCGCTTCCCCCCTTTATTATAATAATAATATTGTACCATGCTAAAATAAAGAATCTTTAATCTCTAATAAATTTCAAAGGAATCTTCAGTGACCACTAAAGAAACTGATGGGCAAACAGGTACAGTGGGGAAACCAATTTTATTACTTTGCATAACTATAGTATTTATACTGTACTACCACTGCTAATTTGCTACTGTATTTTAAGTAATACATCTTTATGGGAAAAGAAGTTGTAGTTGGAATGGTGTAACTTTATTACAGATTTTTTGCATACTAGTTTTAAATTTTAATAACGTCTGCACTGGCACAGCATCATTATGAAGACTTAACCTAGGATAAACCATCATAGAAAAAATAGTATTCGCACTGCAGCCCTAAGTTATTTCAAATTGTATAATTTTTTCATAAAATGAATTTGATAACAAAGAGTGCAATATGACTGTAATTACTGATAGTTAATAACCAACATAAAATACCCTAGCAGACATAACTTCAAGAAACCCCATAAGGTTGAAGCTAACTTTGTACGTAATACTTTTGTACACCGAATACCAACTTACCAATTAAATAATCTGACTGCGAGCTGTGTAAACATATTTTCTCGTCCACTGGGACTGAGTGAGGTGCTCATGACAGGGAAATGATCAAGTTAACTCTTAAATATGTCATTGAAACTCCACCAGAGTAGACAATCAAAAACATTACAAGACTTGTTGTTTTCACAGCTACACAGCTCACTTTGCTGATGTCACATTCCGCTAATGTTACTGTATAAATTACATAATTTATCTATTTGGATTGAATATTTAGACTGTTTAATAAAAAATACTTTCTGTATTAATTTTGTCTAGCAATGAAACATTAAGATTATTTTCACAGTAAACAGTTTGTCCTGAGGTCATTTATGCTCAGCTGATTGCAATGAGAATTTATATATTTTTCTAGAATGCCCGAATCTTTGTTAAAGAGATAAATGTTGTGTAGAGAAGCAAAAAATGAGTGTTAGAGGGTATAATGAAGATGTAGAGGTATATATGTATAAGTGTTGGCACTGGTGGTGGTGCCAGGAGTCGCCATCAGAGGAGTCAGTGTGGCTCGCGCCCTCGCCGTGCGCGGATGTTGTATACAAAAATGCGCAGGAACTGCAAACTCTTCATATTCTTTCTTGTGTATGGACACTCGGTGTTGTCGTATATCTTAACACGAGCAAGGATGTGAAGGTCAGTAACACGAGTTTCACTGTTTGTTAGTATTAAGCGTAAGGTTATTATTTGAGGAAAACATTATTCTTGAGACGCTGCCTCCGTTGCCAGACAACTACCAGTGGAGATGTGATGATGCCAGGGACAGTGCCACTAGTGCCACCCACTATAATACCTCTTGTTGCAAGCCTATATTACTTCCTACTTAATTCATATCTCAAATTCAGTATTTACCATTTTAGAAGCCTGTTAGATATTGACATTGGTGCAGTCAATGGTTAGAACCCCTTTGAAAGGCCTGGAGTATTGATTTTGTGCACGTTGTAATGGTAGGCTGGTGGGCGGGTCTTCTACTAGAGGTTGGCTTAGTATAAACCAATAATTGTCCATTATTTGCCTTTAGTGTGTGCTAAATCACCCAACCTGAGTACTTTCGTCAGTCAAAGACTGACAACTTATATATTGGTGAATTATTCCCATTATCTTTTAGACTTTAGAGAGTCGAACTTATCATTATTACCTACTTTTTTTTTATTACGTATCATACTTTACTAGAGACATTTACGAAATATTGAAAGCGAATGTTTGTTATTGTTTTTTAAATTTTTTATGTGATATGGCGCGCTTTCTTGCAAGTGGAGGTGTTCGCCGGTATTAGTCTTCTATTTCAGGTACATTTACGGGAATGAATATGCAGACATGGTTCACTCGTATATACCTCCAAAGGATTATGTGCAGACAAGTACAGGCGTACGTTAATACCTTCACACTAATACTCCAGTGAAAATGAGTCGCTTTATTTCACTTATTTGCGTTAATCTTACGTAATTTACATATACACTATATGTTACTATGTAAGACAATGGTAAACATTCAAAAGTTGTGTAAAATTCTACGAGAAATCTTGCGCATATATGGCACAAACGTA